TCCTCGCAGCATGTACGCGCGTGTGCCGCAGGCGATGGCGCAATTTGTTCTAAAACTAGAATTATTGTCCCATATCATGGGGACAACCCCAATACTAGAAATGACGCGCGCTTACGGTCTCTGTCCCCGATTATGGCTCCTGCTATCAATCAGGACAGTAGATTGTGGAGTCTCGATTTACTTGGTTGTGTTGGTAATAATATGCTAACCTATGTAATAAATTTCCTCTCTTCTGGTTAGATTGCAATAAAAGCTGTACCCGTGGTCAACTTGACACTGTGCTTTGTCAGTGCAAGTGTCCTCCTGATGGTGTTATCCAAGGACGGGTAGTGACGTCATCTGGAGCCCCACTTCGGGATGTCGGCATTTTATTAGAACTCTTCCCTTACACAGAAGTGGCAAGAACCAATAAGAGTGGGCACTTTTCAATCAGTGACAGGTGTGAAAATAAATCATATACAGTGAAGAAGAACGACTACATTCCACTTCGACTTGAGGGTGGCATCAGAGGTGCCAATCCGCTATTGATCCAGCTTGAAGATGCAGGTATGTTGATGGTTTGCGACCCTGACAATAACAGTTTTAATAAGCATGTATTTCAATTATTTCAGGTTTCCCAAGATGCACCTTGGTTGACTAGATAGATCAAGTAACACATGTAAAGGACTTACGAATGTGTAAATCTAAATAGTAATAGAGTTTTTTATCGCTTAGCATCATCGCTCAGTGTAGTTCATCGCTCGCTATTGAACACTCGAAATGTGGTGGAGAAAATCAGTATTACCACTCACTAATTAACTTTAGGCCTAATAGATGATTTCTGCCAGCCTGGTTATATGCACAGCATCTCGCTGGACTTCCTTTCTTTTTCAGAGCCAGCTTACATCACTAATAATCCTAAGAGCAAGACGCGTATTGCAGGGCAAAGTGTGAATTTCACTTGTGAGGCAGAAGGGACACCACCAATTGAAATCAGCTGGTAAAGCACTAAATCATAGTTACGTCAACGTGGACATTTGGCAATGAGTCAAAGTGAATCTTTGTGACAAATTAAACGTATAGAGCTCTGAAGGATTTACGTGAAACACATAGACTTTGTTTGAAGTTACAATTCCAAGGAGTATTAAGTATCTCCTAACAGGAGGTGTTCTGAGGTAGTGTTAGGCTCGATGGAGTTTTGTTAGTTTAGACGTTTACGATCCTGGAAGAAATAGCTGGGTGGTGTGTACATCATTTCTATTTTTGCTTCTTTAAGGTACCACAATGGAAGGCGTTTACCGGGGTTAACCGTGGGAATGAGATCGAGCTTGTTCATTACAAATGTAAATAGAGTTCAAGGTTTGTACACCTGCAAGGCTACAAACGATTACGGATCAGAGATGTCCTCTCCTGGCGAGCTAAAGATAAAAGGTAACACGATTTTTTCAACGGTTGCTTATAGCTGAAATTCTTGAGAACAGTCATGGCATAAGCATGGAGTGCCACGTGTTTTCACGTGTTTTTCTCATTGAGTTATTTTCCTTTTCAGTTGCATTTCGTCTTACTATTAATATACAAAGCAGATAAGAAAAGGTCATTTGTGGGCACAATTAGATGAAAATGGCCCTACCACCTGTGCACATTTCCAAAACATCCGATAAATACTTTGGTGTAAGGGGGGAATTGAATGTTACCTTTTGTCATGCCATTTGGTGGGATTCTCTAGCATGATTCAGCTCTTATTATCCGTTCGAGGTTTCACACAATGATAAAATACTATCACAGGTTTGGATTGAAAGGTCCTCCCATGGAATTCTAAGAGTTTTTGAGTGATTTTTTGAGATTTATGCATGTTAAAAGGCAACAAAAATGAAACCGGGTGGATTTACGGCTTTTAGAGTAAATATATGTAAACGAAAATTATTAAGATTGAATGAAGATTGAAAATGAGATTTTTAACTTAATAACTTTTATTCATCCTTCTACCCTCATTCTGTTTCATTAAACCGCAAATGCACGGCCTCATTACTCTTTAGCACGGTCTCAATTTGACAACCACGTATTAGCTAAAGCTACAAAATAAAAAAACGTTTTTTTTTTATGTTCTTGAAATCCAGAGGAAATCTTAGACACCTGCAACCGAACACCAAGCAGTCACATCATAAAACTTCCACAAGGATGCCGTGAAGGGCTCACGGGCAAGAACACCTTGGATATTGGCCAATGTTCTGATGAACCGTGTTCTCAGAGTTCATCCCTTTCGCAAACTTGCGCCGTTAATGAAGATTGTTGTTGCAGCCCTAGAGGCAAGGACTACCAAGAGAGGGTTTTGATAACTTGTGACGGACGTTACAGCGAAATGATATTTTACCGTGTCAAAGAATGTGGCTGTAGCTCATGCGTGAAAAGGGAAACCGCAATAAAAGGTGAACAGCTAGTCATTACCGTTAATGTTACTGTGCTCAATTGTTTAATTCATAATCGTATTAACGTAAATTACCGTTCTTTCATATCTCTAGTATAAGCTACGAGGGAACTATTGCTTAGCAACTCAGCTTCACACACACAGAAAATGATAATTAACCTTTAGTTACCCTCGGCAGTGTTTATAGCACAAATGCTAGTAGGCCGAGCAAACAACTGAAACATATAATTCCAATCGAACGTAGCATTGTTAAGAATCCCTTTTGGCCGGAGGAAAACCAGTTAGTTATTTACAAGCAAGCATGGCCAAGGATCTGAACTCTAGTCTGCCTGAAAGTTCAGAAAGTGGTCAGAACTCGAACCAGGGACCTCTGGATTGCGAGTCCGACACGCTGACCACTCGGCCACGTTGTCTCCAACTACACCCAGTTATGCTAAGTAATTTTCGTTTAGCTGGTCGTTTTCATGAAATTTTTCCTTGTTGAGAAAAGGGTGGTAATGAGTTGCAGAAGGTAAAGGGAACTTTAACAGTTTCACGGTACTTTTTCTGCCTGGTTCAAAGGACTCATCACCAGAAAATTCTGACATTGCCTTACAGGAGAAGTTGTAGGTGGCCATAATCAAGTCCCAGTCAAGAACGTCAAAGTTATCTCCAGAAATAAAGTAGTTGATAGGACCAACGAAGAAGGAAAATTCTCCTTCGTTGTGACTGACGACGTGGACCGTTTGACAGTCACATTTCAAGATCCAGCAGATCAATTTTCTGACACTACCCAGACCATGCCATTTCAGAGGGGCAGAACTGTAGTCCACCGGATATTACTACAGAAGGAGGACCCACCAGTGACATTCGACAGTAGCAAAGACCTAAGGGCGCCTCTGGGTCATGCTGGGGACAACATGGCGGAACTAGAATTGCCAGCTGATAATCTGCTGGATAAAGATGGAAAGCCATTTAAAGGTGAATTTCAAACCTAGGCGTTTGTGAAAAAGCTATGTTTGCTTGTAACTGCAAGCGCACACAATTGCCTAAACGCTGTTTTGTTTTTGTTTTTGTTTTTGTTTTTTCTTTCCTTCTCTCTGGTCTACATTTCTCGTATTCCCCTGTTTTCTCTCATGTTTTAGTAGAACTCTACCAGTATACTAATACAAATGCTCTAATCTGATTGGCTGAGCGATTGCACACTATCAGCCATTAGTGTACAGTGGCTTGGTGTGGTCGACAAAATTGCAACGTTTCCTCGTTTCTCCAAAGTTTTGAAAGAACATTTAGAAACAAATGGATAATCAAATTCCTGACAAGACTAAAAGGAGGGCATTTACGGTTTCTTGAATAGAAAAACCTCGAAATTTTTGAAAGAAACTGACAAGCGCACTTACACAACTGCACAAATGTCAAATTGACAATTCACTCCGCACGAATTCTCTAAAGCGTGATGTTTAATACTAAGATCAGAAATAAATGGAATCGTTATTTGAACTAGATTTCAGTTAGAATTCTACTAAAACAATTAAATTATTCGCTCTCGATTTCTATGAGAAATCTCGAGCTCATAATCTAATTGTTGTTAAATACTCGGGGTACTAAACGACGGTTTTCTTTAAAATGTCTTAAACGCTCTTTTCGTCCTGGTCCACATTTCTTACAGTTTCCTGTTTTCTCTAGTGTTTGGTCGACTGCACTGATCGACGGTATTATTTTCAATGCTTTAAAAGCCTGAATTACGTACGCTTAAGGCTATTTGGAATTTTTATCTCTTCGGTCATTCTAGGGGATCTTATATGTTCTAGAGGATCTTATATGTTATATGTATAACATGCATCAGCTGAGGTGACGATTCTTTTAAGGGGGAAGGGGATTAAAGGCCTATCGAAAAGATAATTTGTGCTCTTGAAAATTTTAGCCTTAATTTCGGCGCTTGTAATACGTGTAAATTTTCCCCATCTGTAACCATCCTTGTTCCTTTATTGTTTATTTTTTTCTCTTTGGTGTTTTTCTTACTTATTATACTACTGTTTTCTGGTTTTCTGCAATATCATTTAAATATAATTTTGTGTTTTGCCAAAATATCTCAAAATACCTTGACTGAACTCCTTTAATTTACAATCGGTTGTTGTTTCAAAACGTCACGATCCTCGGCCATTTATTTTTCTCTGCACTTTAACATGACACCAAACAAAACATATGAGAAGCAATGAGAAAAAATGAAACATGAAGAGTGCAATGCCGGTCAAAGGAGCTGGAATAAGACATTTTGATCTTTCTTTTCCACAGGTAAAGCAAAGCTAAAGGTCAGTTTAAGAGATCGAAGAAACTCCAGTGACGTATTCTCTATGCCTGGAGATTTCACAACAGTTGACCAATCAGGAAGTGTTCAGCCTCTGAAAACATACGGGATACTTAAAGTTAAAGTTGAGGACGAGAACAATGAGAAACTTGACCTTGCAGGAAATATGAAGATTTACCTCGATGCTGATAAGGTTTTATGTGACTCAATTGATAGTACCACTGTTATATTTGTAAATTACTGTACTTTAGATAATTTAAGATTGTAAAATGTACCCGTTAATTCAGTTGTTTTACTGCAAGAGAGTTTTAATAAGCTACTTTTATTTTTACTTTTATTATTATCAATATTATAATGGAAAACCCTATGAGTAGCGCTAGCTAGTATATAGATGCTCTTGGACTAGTTTGCCATAAATATGATAAGCATGATCTGGAAAAAGCCAGGGGAAAAGCCGAGGAAAATTCTTTTGTTACCAATCTTAACCCTCAAGCGTGCGCAGGACGCAGGACGGGCTGGGAGGATCAATCTGCGTTATTTTCAATCCAACGGGTTGGATTCAAGAGGACGTCGTGTGACGTTCGTCGTTTCAAGAACATCCATCTTATCGCGTAGAGCATCCCGAGGGCTAAATATGCTTTACTACAAAGATAAATCAAGAGACCTTCACTCACTCCTCCCTTCCCCAGCGTCCCTGTACTAAGCTTGGAATACGAGTTTAGGCAGCTTTCAAATACCTCCGGGTTAATTCGTCTCCCTGCCTTTTTACTATACTTTTTTTACTTTACTTTTTTCCTCTCTTTCCTACTTACATTTAAACTACTTTTTCCCACCTCCCAAAGATTACCTTACCAAGGAATTCTTCTGGAGAAATGGCGCCATGGTTGTGGTGGCTTGATGAAAAGACCGGAAGATGGCGACAAATGGGAGAAATGAAGCCAGCTGATACTTCAAGGACCAAACGAGCAGAAGGTGGCAGGAGGTTTTATGTCGGGGACATTCAAACTGACAAAATATCATATATCAACATCGACATCCAGTGGAAACGCTGTTACGTTCGAGCTCAGGCTTACACTAGGACCAGTGAAGACACGCAACCCGTCATTGAAGCCGAAGTCACGTTGATTGGCAAGGAGAATGCCAATGAGGAACAGTATTATGGATATACCAAGGCGATCACCGATAGAAACGGAATAGCTTGTATTCCAGCTTGGTGCGATTCTTACGTCGTTTTACAATCAAGGAAGGTGTCGAATAATGTAGACGGCAGTGAGCGTGTCTCTCAGTTAAATGCCGATGACCAGGTAACCCTGGTGAAGCTGTCGCCTCAGTTAGAAGCATCATCTATTCTGGAAGGGAATAAATCGACTTCGTATCAGTTCATAGCAAAAGTAACTTCGCAGGCAGGGCCCATATTCGCTGGAGACGAGATGCACAAGTGTCGCGATGTCAGTGACACTTTGGTGGCGTTTGCATTTTACTTGGAGGAGAAAGAAATCGAAGTAGATGCGTTCGATGATTTTGGTTCCTTGCCACCTGGCCACCCACTGTCATGGTACACGATGGATGTTAGCAAACCAAAGCAGGAACCGAACAAGTGTTTCATGAAAATGAGAACTGTAATCTGGGATGGAAAACAATTTCCTATGGTATCAGTACAAAGTTTCACACCTAACCAGCAGATCAGGTACGGATTTTCCATAAAAGAGCAAACACCCACTCAGGAAACAACAACTGTGGATGATTACTGGAATTACAAAGTGGCTTATGCTTGTGTCGAATACAGATGCAGCGAAATAGACAAAGACACGTTTCTTGTTGTAAATCTTCTCCCAGATTACTGTGTGTTTCCGCGACCGATTCCTCCTCTCCGTCTCAAGAAGCATCAGTATGAAAACTCCACTTTCACTTTCACCTCGCAAAGAAGTACAGGCTTCTATGCTCCATTTGATGTGTCTGACGGTAAATTAGGATTGTATGCAGGGCCTGGGAAAATTGCAGAAGAGCGGTGCAAGGCTGGGGGAGAAATTGCTGTAGGAGAGGGCGTAAGAAAGATAACAAGCGCTGGATACGCAGTGGAAGCCGCTAATGCAATTGAATGCAATCCGGATTCATATCCCCCATGGGCGGAATGGGAGGATCGATAGGAGGGCATTGGTCCAAATGGAGACTTTCTTCCTTGTCAATGAATAACTCTCATTGAAATGGTTCTTCTAATTGCATCGAGAAAAAAATAATTAGCGAGTGGTAGAAGACAATTTTTAGTGCTCAGCGTGTGTTGTTAAACCCACGAGAATTGGGCCTCTTTAAATTTGATTCATTTTAAAGTTGTATTTTAAGCTTTTGATTTTGATTTCAATTTTCTTGATTTTTATCAAAATACTTTAAAAAAAAATAAAAAGTATTATTCAGTTCGCTAATTTCAGAAGGCATATCTCCTGTTTTGTTGTAAAATTGAAATATCTTCCCACTGTCCTCGCTTATGTGTTCAGGAGGTTGGTGGGCACAATCTTTTAAAATCACCGATGATGGTGTCACGCAAAATAGAAATCATGGGGTTGAGAGGGAGTGCGTTCGTTTGGGATGATCCGGAACAGGATCCATAATCCAAGCTAAGTTCAGTCTCGGATTATGGTACATTAAAGGTACGGATGGATCTTTAAGTGCGTTGCTTTGAGGTTGTCTATTACCTCAAGCGGTTTTTTTTTTCCGTTTTGGCTTTTTTCTGGACCAACACGAATTCGACGCACATAATCGTGCAAAATAGATCAAGAACAATATCCAGCAATCCTGACGGAACAAGCGTGGCCAATAACAGTTTTATTACGAGCTAGATTACCGTTTGCTTGCGAGACCAAGTGGTCCGTCACGCAGAGGGGTTAGCTCATCTTGCTCGTTCGGGGAGTCAGCCATTAAAAGTGAGACTTAATTTAAACCTTACGTTTCAGTGGCGTCGAATTTCTTTGTAAGAGTCTCATAAAAACTCGTCGAAATCGCTTTAAAAATCGCACCGCACGCTCATCGAAGTAACAATGTAGGACACTTCAATTTTAGTATACTCCAATCAAGTTATACAAGCGAGATTTGTCTAGCCTGAACCATATTTGCGTTTGAGTTAAGCAACAAAGCACTTTTTCTGTGTTTACATAGCCTCATCTAAACACGAGGGGGTTCGTGGAATTCGAGACAGTTATGCAAACCCGAGACGCAGTCGAGAGTTTGCATAACTTTCGAGAATTCTTCCAACACCCAAAGTGTTAAGATGAGGCTATGTTAACGCGGAAAAATTACTCCATTGCTTTTGTGAAATATTTCTCAAAAATACGCGCGAATCTAAAACGTCGCAACCGTGTTTACATACTCTCATCTAAACAGAGCTATGGACCAATGAGAGCGCGCGTAGTATAACAGTCATTTTATAATTAAGACTATAAACTTTCCCATACAAAATACAATCCCCGGTTGTCTTGTTACCTTAAAAAAAACAAAAAACAGCAAACTTAAAAAAATAAAATAAACAACAACAACAACAAATCAAACAAACAACACAAAAACTTCTGAAGGAAAATTAACGGAAACTTTATGAACTAAACTGGAATCAATTGCGTGTCTTCTTTATAGAAATGGAAAGTCTACTAGAATTTGTTCACGAACAAATCAAGATACAGCTTTTGAATTTGGCAAACTAAAGCATGATGGCAAATCCGTCACAAAGTTATTTAGTGTTAATAGGCCGTTGGTAGCTCTCAACAAGAGGAGATCCAGGTAAGTACCTTGATCTTCTCTTGCACTCGATTAGAGAATATTGAAATGGCAGAAAAATCATTATTTTTTCTCGATTTTGCAACGAATGAACACATAGCTAATAACCTCATAGACAAGCATATTATGCCAGTCAGGGTTAGGCCGAGTTGTCCACTACTTCGGACCAAAAACCCAAAATATAAATATATCGTACCATTTGAGCTAGTAAACTAGAAAAAATTCAAGTAAAGAACGCTAATACAAAAGAGGATAATAATAACGGAGCTGAGCAACCGCGTACAATAGAAGTGCGATTAGAACACAGGCCAGAAAAAAACTGCCGTAAAAACCCCGTGGGGAGAAAAAGGCAGGAAATCTGGGTAACAACCATGGCTCCTTCTTCTCAAGCTCATTCGTCAGAAATTACATTTTTGCTCAATTTCCTCGGAAAGCAAGTTGTTTGATGATTTTTTTGGAAATAAAAAGTCTTTATTATGTTTATAACTTATGTACAGGAGTAACAACACAAAGTACATACCTGCCGTAAAACAAATCGAAGGGTCAAGAATGGCAGAACACTTTTTACTGATGTCTCTTCTAGTTTCTTCTATAAACGCCATGAGTTGATAAATGTTGCGCTAGAGGGGACAGTGTTTCAGTTTAGTTTCAGTACATTTAGTTCACAGCCAACAAGCACGAGAGGAATAAGGCATTTAAAAAATAGAAAGAAGTATTTTAGTAAGCTTAGCTCTTCCTCAGCGGGCACGTCCAAATAATAGTGACAGCTTTACTGGATTGTCCAGGCCTAACTTAACAGCTTTAGAACGCTTTAAAAATAGATAAACTGGTGTTACCAGTGTTCGGATCTTTCGGTAACTAGTTTGCCACCTTCTCTAATGACTGTAACCGCCAAATGGATTCAGTCATTGCTGAAAGGGAGACCAAAAAGTCAGGAAAAATAATTTTGAAAGGTAAACGCAGTCTGCCAAATAAACTGGCTTCCCTAAACAACCATACAGGGCAGCCATTTTAACACACAGTGTAATGAAAGTGGCTATGAGGCACTCAACTTAGAAATGGACCGTCTTTAAACGGTGGAAATTTTGATGCCACTGAGCTGAGATTTCAATTCGTAGGCCATATGTCATTTATATATCGAGCTTGCGAGTTAAAGCCCACTGGCATTGTTAGGAAAAAGTACAAAATGCAACGGTGAGAGAGTACTTGAAGAGATGTGACACCTTTGAAAACATTTACGAAGTTATCGGTGACCCTTGTCTGAGACCCGTTACCACAATTAAAGTACCGCTTCTTATCCAATCACGGCAAAGCAAGTAGTAATATCCCCGTATTACGGGTTCTTGTTTCCTTTCCTGCTGAACTGAATCCCTTCATTCATGTAACTTGGTGTTTTTTGTTTTTTTTTTTTTCCTTAAACGCAGTAGTTGACGTTCTTAAAGTTTAGCCAGCATGAAGTGTGGAGAACTGCTTGCGGCAGGTTTCCTTTTTTTCATTTGTCGCTACTCCGGTCCTCCTCTCCTTTTATTCTCAATCTATATTAACTTGTTTAGCCCAGTCTACACTCGAACGCGCCTGTTTGAAATTAAGTTCGTTCGGTGACTCAGAGAAGGAGCTGATCGATTTAGTTTTCTATAACGGCTGTCTAAAGAAAGCCTGCCTGGGGACATCATTATGTACATATAGTTCCTCGAACCTTTTGTTTTTTTCTTATCAGAAAAATTCCCAACAACAATAAGGAACAGCATAACTACTGCAGCTGTGCTGTGTTTCTATCGAGTAATAAAGACACAATATTTTGCGGTGTTTTCTTTGAGCTGTTTTCTAATTTACAATAATTTAGTTGCAATGAATACTGTAAAGGTGAAATTGAAGGGTACACCTGCATATATTTCCTTAGAATGTTGACGTTTTTGCATCCTAGGAAACGAGCGGAAGAAACCTGCAGAGGAAAAAAAATCGGCGCCGAAATGTAGAGGCCCTGGGAAAAGAGTTTCAGTTTCAAACGGTTCCATGGATGCGTCGGCAGAAAAAAATTATTTGTATTATTCAGCCTAATGGGCGGGAAGTAGGCCCACATCCCGTTTGTGTGTTCTAAAACGGAGTCCCCTACAAAACCACCAAGCTCCTTAGCCATATCAAGTTATCTTGCTTGTTCGTCAGTATTTTTCTCGCGAAAGAGAGTTTTGATTACAATTTGTCTCCAGGCTGAAAAAAGTGGGAAGATAGAATCATCAGATGTGCACATGTGCTAGAAAATCATCCAAAACATCAGAATTTGGATCGACTGCAAGTGTTGTGATACCAGTAAGCTTTAGAAACACCGGACTCTGAGGACAACTTCTCTATGTAAGATGCAGCAGTTGTCACACGAGAATTCGAATGCATGAAAACGCGAATACACAGTCAAATGCTGGCAACTTCTCTTTTCCATTGTCAGTAAAAGACGCATTGAAACTCCGATGTCACAAATACAGGGAATTTCAATTCTCCTGTTTACTTTATTCCCACAGATATGTAGTCGTTTTGAATCAGTTCCTGTAACAATTTAATCAATATCACGACATTTTTTTTTTCTTGTTTCTTGTGGAAAAAACGAAAAATTTTCCTCTTTGAGTCACCTGATATCGAGTCAAAAGCGCTCGATAATAAAAATTAAGAAACCGATTTCAATATTTTTAGAAGTGAATAGTTTACTTTTTACAGTTCGCCGCCTAACATGTCCACCTGCCTTTTCTCGATCTTTGGGCAAATGGACTTCAACTGAAAAAACAGGTATCCTATTAAACATTCATCATGTTTAATCGACCCAGAGTTAATTTCTTAAAATCTCCATTGACAACTCAGGGAAAAGCTATTAGATCATCACATTATTTCTACTTAAATCTTTTTTTACAACCTCTATAGCGCTGGATTACGACACATGGAAAAACGGCTTCAGAGAGAGGACACTGCTTTAAAAGTATCATCACTAATAACTTGGATATCTGGAAGTGTCACTTGTTTATTGACTTTTTCTTTTTCTGTCACTTACACGACTCAGTGAAACCGTCGAAAACTAACTTTTGAATCTTCGAGACTGGAAGCTGTAATACGATGAATTTCAGGCGCCACAAAAAGCTTATCGCCAAAGGGGATTTCATTCTGGCTGTTTCCACTGTTGTCATACTCTTGGCCATGTTTTCCGAGGCGGTTGAGACTCCGACTACTCTCGAAGGCAAGAAAGAGGACGAGATGGAAAACACTCACAAAACCGACAGCTTAAGCATGTTGATACTCATTACTTTGTTAATCATTAACGTCCTTATGATCTGGCTTTTCAAGATCCGGAGATTCGAGTTCTTTCACGAGACCGGGGTCGCGATGATTCTTGGAGTCGTCGTGGGCGCCATAATCAAGTACTCCGAAAGCCGTAGCCAGAGGAAACCGCTGGCTGTGAAATTGAAAAATTGCGGAAACATCACCATAGCGCCGAAGAACGTTTTCGTCAACATAAATGGAACAGAGTACTCGTATACACTGACGGGAATTCGCTTTCCGCCCCACACCTCCCCTCCCGATGAAGGCAACGAAATTGAATCCAAGTCTTCCTTTAATCCTGAGATATTCTTCTATGTTCTACTCCCGCCCATCATCTTCTACGCCGGTTACAGTTTTCAGAAGCGTTACTTCTTTAGAAATTTGGGCGCTATTATGACCTATGCTTTCTTTGGCACGACTATTTCTTGTATCGTTACGGGCTCGCTGGTTTTCGGGTTTAACATCTGGACAGGAGTCACAGAAAATTTTGACTATGCGGAGTGTTTGCTCTTTGGTGCCTTGATCTCCGCCACCGATCCCGTGACCGTGTTGGCGATTTTTCACGATCTCCACGCGGACCTTGACATGTACGCGTTGGTTTTCGGAGAAAGTGTTCTGAACGACGCCGTTGCGATCGTTCTATACAGAGCTATTGAAACCTACTTAGCGTACAACCAGAGCGACCTGCGAGATTTCGATTTGTTCTCTTTCCTGAAGGCCATTGCAGATTTTGTGGCCATTTTTGTTGGGTCTTTCACCATTGGATGCGGCATGTCGTGTGTGAATGCACTGGTAACGAAATTGACTAAGATTGGAAGCTTTCCTATCTTGGAGACGGCTCTATTTTTCCTGATGTCTTATTGCACCTTTTTAGCAGCTGAGCTCTCGAATTGGTCCGGAATAGTGGCTGTGCTTTTCTGCGGAATAACACAACAGCATTACACGTACAGAAATCTCACCGAAGAATCACGGACACGCACCATGCAGACATTTGAACTTTTGAATTTTTTAGCAGAGACTTTTATCTTTTCATATATCGGCTTGTCTGTCTTTGCCTTCACGAATCATCAATGGAACGCCGGTTTCATCGGCTGGTCATTCATGGCTATACAAGTTGGACGAGCTCTTAACATTTACCCATTATCGCTGATTTTGAACATCGGAAGAACGCGGAAAATTCCACTTAACATTCAGCACATGATGTTCTTCTCCGGATTGCGTGGGGCCATCGCGTTTGCTTTAGCTGTTAGAAACACTGTTTCCATCCCGCGACAAATGATGTTAACTACAACTCTTATTATTGTCATCGTATCTGTCATCGTTTTTGGAGGGGTTGCCATGCCTGTGCTTTCGTGTTTGAAAATTAAAACAGGTATTGATGAGCTGGAGGAAGAAAAGAAAGCACGCAGGCTAAGTCTAATTGATGTTAACGATCCCTCGGCCAGCACTCCACAAGAAAGAATCGAAAAGAGACAATATGAAAAGTCCTGGTTGGTCAGAGTTTGGTCGCGGTTCGATGAGAAGTACCTGACTCCTATATTTGTGGAAGAAAGCCAGTTAGAATCTTCAAATATTGATTAAACCTCGTGCGCACAGTGGAGGGGGTTAGGGGTTGATGCCACCCCGCCCCCCAGAATTACTCTGTGATGTTGAAACGTTCAGTAGCTGTTCATTCATCCCCCGCCGAGATTTTGACATGTCAACTGTCTCTTCACGTCACTTGTCATTGCCATAACAACCGCATTTTGACATCGCCGGTCAAGCCTAATTTTGTTTTACGCGACAGAATTCTTCAGGGTTTTTTCCAGTTTTCTTGAGCAGCATTGCAGAACTAGTGCCTTTTTACATTATAATTTTATTTTTGGATAATTTTTCAATTCACATTATTTTCTGACTCTCTGAGAAAATAGTGAAATCTAGACTTGGTAAATTAAATGACGCCAAAACATATTTTTGGGTTCGGGTACGACTTTGCTTGTACGTCCGGAGCTAGATTAAAAGGACAACTACATCTTAAAGAAACTGTATTTTGCTAAAAACCCGAGTTTTTGTTGATTTTTGCAGACGATTTCATTAAAAGACCCCTATTTAAATCGCAAATATTGTCATGATAGCTTCATGCATCGATGATCTGAAACAATTTGTTAATTACCAACCGTCGTTGACCTTTTGTTAATAGGCCCTTTGCAGGATCCGGTCGCATGGTACGGAAATAATCATGCTGGGACGCAAGTTACACAGTGGGACTTTCAAAACAAAGGAACTCGTACCAGTGCAGCCCGACTTTACTTTATTTTGAAAGTCCCACTGTGTAACTTGCGTCCCAGCATAATTAATTCCATACCATGTGACCGGATCTTGCAAAGGGCCTATTGAACGGCAAACCAAGGTTTACCAAATTACTGGTGACACAAGTGTTTGTTTTTGCTTTTACCCTAAAGACTGTGTGTCGCGCTAACAGGGCTGCTATAAAATAGGTCCGTAATGCGTACTTGTGAGCTTATGCTAAGTTTTATTCCATTCGATTTTAGTTTGTTTTTGCAAGTCAGTATCTGTGAGTTTAATTGCTGTAAGTGAGAAAAAAAACACTGCAAAAATAAAGGTGTTACTATAAAGGTGAAACTGGAGAAAACTTGTGGCCACTTAGTCGCATTGTGGAAGTAAAACCAAACAGGAGAGACGGGCTTGTGAGGAGAGTCAGGCTGACAACGAAGTCTGCAGTCCTGGAACATCCCATCGACAAGATCGTTCTTCAAGAGGCTCCTAGACTCCACGAGAGCAGCTAAACATTGTTGATCTTGATGTCCTCAATAGACCGCGACCAGTCTCTCTTTTGCTCATATATCCGTGGGGAAGAACGCGGTGAAGAAGGCAAAATAAGTTGTGACCAAAAGTGTGACATGCGAGTGGCGAGCGGAGAAGCCGCGAGCCGCAAGCAGTGCGAGCGGCTCGCAGCTTGGCATATTACGCTCGCACGCTCACGATCCACCGCTCGCCTGAGTTGCATTCTTCTTTGCGTTCTTCCCCCACGAATTTTCGAGCAAAGGAGAGGCTGCTCGCAGCCTATGTCCTCAACCAACATCAGTTCTTTTCAGAACTACCCTCACCCGGACCATCACACTATACGACCTACAGAAGCGAAGAAGTTAGTGTAGTTTAAAGGCGCCCGCCGTGATAGAGAACCAAGTCAGTTCAAAATTTTCTCGTCAGCTTACCGTAAGAGTTAAAGCTCTCAAAACCAGAAATGTAAATGTAAACCAACCTTATATTGTGCTTTTGATGATGCTTAAATGTGTCAACTGCCACAACAGCAAGCAAAATTTTGATTTTTAACCGGGCATCCGTTTCATAGTTTGAAATAGAGTTCCCTCTCGTCAAGTGTTATTTGCGATCTGTTGAAGTTAATATCATTTAAAACATCACAGATTTTAGCGGGACCATTCATATTTTGGACAACTGTAGTCAACATTTTGGAAATCACTCAGAGGAAGATTACGGCTTGTTGTTATTTAAAATTTCGAACCGGAAGTTATTCAGCCGTGACCTAGAACTGTCTGGAATGTCCTATTTCTCATGTAATATTCGAGTTTAGAAACCTTGCAACAATGCTATTTAATTCTCTAGAGAAGTTTCTGGAAATTCCGAGTGTACTTGTATAAGAGCGTGAGTTTTGTCCGTAAGAGAACAATGAAAAATGTTATGAAGCTTAGTGCTACTGAGTGCTGAAATCCGAGAAGTTTTAAAAATAAACCAGTTTGTCACTGTCACCGACGATCAGGAGTTCTGTATGGGAACAACCCTGCTCTGCATTGACACTCCTTAGGTCCTCCTTCCCTTTGGCAGCATTTTGTACCATTTAGGTCAACTAGTTACTATAAATACCTAAAATACAAATGTCATGAGCATTTGTGATTAAATTTTGTCAGCCATGTTAAAATGTATCCTAAATATTATTAATCATGTTTCGCCAGGTATTTCTTTTTTCACCATTGTGACTTTTTAATTGAATTTCTGTTTCTGTTGTAACACAATTAGGTTAAATCAACTACTTCACAAAACGAAAGGGAAATTATTACAACTGTTGAGTGAATATCAGCAATTCTGAATGGCACTATTCAACAATGAATCTCTAACACAAATCTATAGATCTGTTGTCGTAATCTTATAGGGTCCACAACAGCCTATTCCTACTTTTCTTGAGGTTTAATTTTACTCAGGTACAATGTATGTTAGAACAACAAATTTTTTCACGCATTTTATTAGGTGGTCAGGTTTCTGTATGTGTGTATGTCCGAAGGTTAGACTTCGCTCGTCGATGTTCAGAATTTTTTTTTCTTTTGGCTTTTTAGGCCAAGAGTAAGAAACACGTTGTTTTTATCAACAAAAATCATAGCCCGCTTGATTTGGGCGGATGAATCGTACATGAAGGATGGTGAGGTGAGGGGGAAGGTGGGTGGGTGCCTACTAGAGAGTTATTGCTTGCAATATTGCGTTTAAGTATCGCGTGGCTAATTCCATGATCTTTAAGAAAGAAAAAAAAGAAAGTGCACAGTGGTTGTGCTCGGTTTACCAGAACTCCCCAACGAGCAGTCGGTTTTTGTTCCTGAAATCCTCCCCGCCATTAAAAAAGTTAAAATTGTGCAAATTCGGCCAATGATAAGGAAAGCATTTGCTTCGCATTGGTGTATTCGCGTCGCTTGCTAGGAAAAGAAAGGCACTATCCATAGTCTAGACAACTCAGTGCCCCATCACCCTCCCCCCACCTTCACATAATCAAACCATCTTGCTTCAATAGGAAATAATTAAATCGCCGCACGCATTTTGATAAATTTCGCTCTCTTTCTTGGACTTATTCCTCAATTCAAGTCCAACATCTGTCTGTGCGTTAACGTTATCTAGCAGATTTCGCCTCAGCAGGAGCCAGGCACGTAGAAAAAGAAATAAAAATAGTCCAGCAAGCAAGAAGAACAGAACACACAACACTATTAAAACAATGTCAATGGCGTCGATGGACGCAGTGGCATCAGTTACCGAACCTTTTGCGTCACAAGTCTGCTTGCTTTTTTCCAAATCTTGTTGAAGAGTCCAGAGCTTTCGTTGCAAACTTTCACAACTTCCAGTCGGAGTTTCGTTGTGCGGTACGCACTGAAAATTTTCTACGCCTGCGCAATACTCCGTGGAGAAAAATACGTTATCAGGCGCGCTCTTGTAACCAGTGTTCTGACGAATGATCTTCCCGAGCGTAAGGGAATGGACCTGGTCGATTTCCTGTGAATGCGAAGCAAAGGGATAAATTTGTGAATACCCTACAGTTTGTATTAAGTGCATGTTCTCTTTCCCAAGGGCACCTAATGTGGACCTTAGTGTGAACCTTAATACGCTGAACTTAATCTCAGGAGGATTGTTCACATCACTCAATCATAGTTAATAGAGGGAAATGGTTGAGAAACCAGGCAAAGTTCTTTGTCGTATGTCTTTGTTGGCTATTTTGGGGGTTGACTCTGCACAAAACCTGAAAAAATCCAAAAGGTGGTTATGTGTGCTCCTACAACTAACCAATAACAGCTTTGCGATTATGTAATTCATGCCTAGTCTGTGAACATAAAACAGAGGATGTGCAGGAGAATATCCAAAAAATAATCTTAGCCTGTTTGTTTGTTTCTTTGATGTTTACCTACCTTCTTAACCATTTCCCCCTATTAACTATGACTCAACTAGCTTTTACAATGTAAATTTATTGCCAAGCAAAGAGCAAAGAGGAGAGAACATCGACAACGGTAAGTAACCAAAAAATTCTAAAACTAATTTTGAACGAAATCTCTCGCAATCTGTTAGTAAACTTTAGACGGTACCAAACAGGTTAGAAATGGTGTCAGTTTTGTTAGTTTCTTCAACCATAAAATGACATTCACAATCATTCCAAGCCTAACATAGGTAATGGTTTGAACCCGGGAGTATCAATAGTTCGTCTTGTGTGATCGTCCGGGTGAGGGTAGTTCTGAAAAGAACTATTGTTGGTGACTGACGTTTCGACATCCTGAGCTGAACGGCCACGCTTCAGAGTCAAGTGAAACTGCAGTTGTTTGTCAGTCGATGTTGTTTTTAGTGTGGTCCGTTGAGACTGCTGTATTACCGAACCTTATTAACTTCTTATATGTATCTGCTTCAAACCTCCTGAATTTGAAAATATATCTATTATGGTAAAATTAACCAATCGTGACTTGTACAGGATAATATTGGTACAAAAGCTGTTCATTTACCTCTTGAGAGAGATAACGCTCGTACCAGAACCTGTCTCCGTCTCTGATTCTCAAGAAATTACGCATCACTATTCTGCAAAAGAAAATGCTTAAGTTACTTTACCGTTCCAAAAGAAAATAACGTTATCCTGTGCAGAAAATTCCACCTCTTTGTCAGAAACCTAGGTGAGTGCATGACACCTAAGAGACTTCAGGATCATTGACCCAAGATCACTCGGATCATGGTGCATCAAAGGAATCAATAAATCCACGCTGGGATTCACCTGTTCCTTTGATGCACCATGATGCGAGTGACCTTGGATCATAAATTTGATCCGGATCATCCAGAAGGAAAGCACCCTTAGAAACTACTTCACTTTGTGAAACATTACTCACGTTCTAAAAGTCGGTCCCAATTCACTTCGATGTTCATGCTCCTCGGCTAAGCCTGCTACCCATAAGTCTACATTGTTTCTGTCTTGGTAAAGATCCTCAAATTTAAGGGCAATCTTGGAGTCGTTGGTAATGTCGGCGAAACTAGTAATCTCTACGCAAAAGAAAAAAATCATTTATATCAAAACTTCTGGAACTGTGCCAGGTTGTTCAAATTAAATCAAGACAATCTAGGATTGGCTTTAATTTTGATCTCATTTTTTTTTTTAACTTTTCAGTGTGGTTTTCAGTCCTATATATATTGCTCATAATTTATATGACTAATGTCAAACTCTAAAAATAATAACATTGAAAACTATTTTTTATGTGAGGAATTAGAAAATCCCCCATTAACGATTAAAATTAAATGTGTGCTAAATTAGCACAAATGGGCTTTAAACAACTGGCCCAGGGGTAACGATCAAAGCTTAGACGTACCTCCTAACCAACGGAACTACCGGAATATCTGACTAGCTTGCGGGATGGTTAGTGCTCGACTCCGGATCAAGCGGTCCGGGTACGAGCCCCGGCCGGGGACATTGCGTTGTGTTCCTGGGCAAGGCACTTAACTCTCACAGTGCCTCTCTCCGCCCAGGTGTATAAATGGGTACCGCCGATTTTAATGCTGGGGGTAACCCTACGATGGACTAGCATCCCATCCAGGGAGGAGTGGAAACACTCTTAGTCGCTTCATGCTACTGAAACCGGGATAAGCTCCGGCCTGGCTCGTACGCAGACTTTACCTTACCTTGTTGCAGGAGCCCGTCACTAGGAACGTGCAACTATACCCCATATTCCTGTCACTGCGTTGTCGCAGACCAATCTATTTTTAGTTTGAATTTACCGCGAATTCAGACCCCCACAGAAACCTCAGCGGCCAATCACAAGCACAGACTTAATTTTAACTGACGTCATCATTTCACCGGAAGATTAAAAAGAAAAACAAAGTGTTTTTCCTTACCGATGTGCACTCATGTAGACCAGAACTGGCCTATTTCGCGGGAAAAGAAGCCTAAAAATAGACCGGCCTGTGAAAATGCCTTGACACAGGCTTAGTATAGGAGTTGCACACTCCCAGTGATGGGCTTCTGCTTGTTGGTAAATAGTTAGCCGGCGACACAGATGGATTTCCACTAGATAATAGTCTCCTTCACAGCCATTACCTGGGCGTCACGCAACTATGACCCAAATAACGGCTGGAACAAAGACCAGTAGCTGACTGCCTGGCGTCGTATTTGAACATGTAGCTGGTGGAAAGAGAAAGGATATAACCTTCATATATCTGTCACCAACCTTTTAGACCAAGCGCCTTACGCACAGAGTTGTAGTCTGGTAGGCCATGATCTCTTCCGCGCTGAATATTCATGGCAGCCAGGTCTAAACCACCATGGTGACCGGACGGAAACAAAACGTTACGCATATCATCTACCATCTAGAACCAAAACAAAACAAAAAAATTAAAAACCCTCGATTGACGGCATCAAGCTGAAACAAATAGTTATGCTAACGTACAGTGTTTTGGCGGAATTAAATTTGGAAATCTGATTTTTTTTTTTTTTTTAATTTGTTATCAGTAGAAAGAGAGCAAGGAAAAATTTACAGAACTATTTTTTTAAGGCTTTAATTTAGTTGTGTGCATAGCTGCTATGATCATTCAAGTCTTAACAGAACTAAGCTAGACTGGTATGTGGTGATTAATTAAGGGTTCTTATCAATATGTTTTAAAGTTATGGACGGAATCCAAAATGGCGCCCACTAGTAGAGGAGGCCATGTCGAAGGAAGACCGAAATTAAGCTCACTATTATCGACAGCATTATTTTACACACCAGCGACTTTATATTGAATAAAGAAAACGCTACCACGAAGCTCTTTTTCAAGGTGTACTTGACGCAACTTTATAATAAAAGAAAATCCCAAGTGGTTTTTCAAAAACAATCCGCCAGAGGCAAAAGAGTAAGCATATCAGAGTGTAGTGGCGGTAAGCGATGCAAAAGTACTAAAAAATGTCTGAAATAAAGCATTTTCGCGGCGTCGGCGGATATCTGAAACACTCAGCCAATCGTTTCAAAACGATTAGTAATACCATGTGTAATACCATGCGAAATCAAAACGGGTGAAACACGTTCTCGCAATCGCTGTTTTCGCGCGAAGATTCGTTTTGACACAAAGGCAAAGCATAAAGGGAAAACCATGCGACTTTTCAATGAAGGAAAAACATTAAAACTTTGATTGACTTAAGTGACTAATAGGCCACGTTCGATGTATCAATATTCTAACATGGCTCCGAGGCTTTCGGGTAAAAATTGTAAGTTTTTAAAGTTTCTTTTGTCTCTCAGTTACCAAAAGAGAAGTTTGTCCTGAAAACCTCGGAGCCATGTTAGAATATTGATACATCGAACGTGGCCCATTAGCTAAGGGCTGCACACACAGGCTAACTCGTGAAGGAAGCAATACCTGTAAATCGATCTCCTGTGCGGCTTGTCTCGCAGCTCCTCTAAAGAGGGGATCTACTCCCCCTTCCCTCGATACTCTTTCAGGTGAGAAGTAAGCGTCTCTAAGAGGGAGGTGACCGTAATGAGACATGGTACCATTCTCTTCAAACCGCCACAAGTGAGTGTTGACTTGACTGTGACCGAATCTGACATTGAAAGAGAAGTAAAGGCAATCAACATATTACGCTTGTGAACAGAGGGCTTAAGGTTTGTTAAAGGTTTGTATGACGACTCCGTTCAGGATAGAAAGGATTATTTATCCACAACCTATTCTCTTGTCCACAGTCATTCATACTTTTGAAATCGACCGAACGTTCTTTATTGCTCAATCAAAGATAATATCTCTCTTTCAACATGTATTTAGTAAGAAACAAAAGATTTGTGTCAGATAGAGCTAATGTGTTATCCTAAAGTACTATACTTAACGGTTTACTTTCAATTCAATCGATATTTTACACTGATTGAACACGAAGAAATATATCTTATTAACCAAGCGCGAGGGCCGTTCGGGGAGAGTTCGAGGTCTAAAAAGAACGGACCGAGCGCAGCGAGATCCGCACAAAAAAGACCAAGGGCCAATATTCTTCCAGTAAGGTCCCAAGAGAGCTTGATTAATGGAGATTTATTACAAGACCGAAACTACCAGGAAAGCTTGTTTTCTTGCGGGATCATTCGGGTCAGTGCCCGGTCCAATACTTAGAGGATATTTGACCGGCAATGGGGTAATCTGATTGCTTGAATTTAGTTCCTGGACCTCTGAACTAATTTAGTCGTGTAATAATGCTACATTCTGAAGCTGATCCTATACGTCACCTTGAACCGTGTAATTACATGTATTACGAACCTGAAAGCTGCAGTGGCCATGATGTTGCTCATGCCAACGTTGACGCTCTCATTGTACCCCTGATAAGGTGGTATGTGATCGGTTCCTCCCAACAATGCTGGCAGGTATTCACGGAACGTAATAGCCTGGAGCTCAGCCGCCACCAGGCGACGCGCGGCCTGGAATAGCTGTTCGTCTGTAGCCTAGGTGAAAAGAATGGGTCTTATGCAATTAATCTGTGTTAGTTATTCTGAGAAACAACATTGTTACGTATGTTGATCGTTCAGAGAGTCAAACCACTGAATTTCCATGTCCTTGTCGATGTATTTGAAACTGTGCAATGCCACTTGTTAAAGTTCCTTCACGGTTTGCGCATCTCGTCGATTGTAATCCGTGTCAATCTTCTCTATTCATAACCATTCTTGTTCCTTAATAGTGTATTATTATCTCTTTGCTGTTTTTCTATCTTAGAAAACTAATAACTTCAGTTTTTCTACAATTTTGGTATGTGGCCAAAATAACTCAAAATGCTGTGACTGAGTCCTTTAAGAGGCAATTTTGTGAACAGTTAGTATTGTGATATTTACCAGTGGATCTTTGTTTTTGAACTCGTCACAGAGCCTGTTATGTTCCCGCACAAACAGAGTGTGAAATGCGATCAACATCGGTTGAACATTAGCTCTTGAATCGCCAGCGGCCAATAGACTGTCTGCATCACGGCCCAACGGATTATCATTTGCTATGGCCATCGTGTTTTTCTGCTCGATAGAGAGGAAATGTTTTAACAAATCAACTGAGTGATTACCACATACCTTAAGATGACATGAAGATAGAATACTGCTACTCAGTCTTCACATTCTAGATGTTAAGCCACCATGAGTACCGGCGTGAAGTACAATTTTTTATGTCATGAAGCAAGTAGAAATAGACCCCATCTTCCCAACGCCAGGCATTGTGCTACAATTTCCTCAACCGTTAGCCGTAAGCCGCTAAATTATATAACATAGACAGTATGGAGCTCATACGATCTAAGGTAGTGTCTTGTCTAAAGGATGCAATAACGATAACCCTGCCTGCGCAGGTTCGCTGCCCTGTCGCCACTCCACCCCTAAGACCTCTGTCTGGCTGCGCCCATGCATTAAGGGAGAAAGAGAAGGATCGTGAGCACAAACTAAGGGTCTTCCCTGACAAAAGAACGTAAAGCGAGATTCGCAATCAAAAAAGGTTGATGAATAGTGTGGTCTGAAACTCCATCTTACCGGTATGAGACCATCAGGACCAAGCTTCATCTTCCCATCTTTGAATTCTCGTAACGCCCCATTCCTCATTTCTGATTCGCCATACACGACAGAGCCATCAATATATGAAGTAAGTTTATTAACCTGTTGTCTCGGAGTGTCTGTATGGCGGCCAGTGCACCTGATGAAAAAAAAAACTTTTACGATAAAAACACTTCGAGCTCATGTCCGAGTCCACTCTTGGTTTTTCGAATACTTTTAACTACATCGACCACTTTTGGTTGTTAATAACATTAAGTTCAGTGTTACTAGTAAATCGAACCTGTTGTAGGTGGAACGCACAAAAGGAAGATAGATATTGCCTTTGTTCAGAGGATCAAAGTGGACATCTCCCTGAATGAAAATAACGAATTGATCAATGATTACAAATCGATCTAAAAACTTATCATAGATTTTCGATTTATATAATTAATGCTTGGGCCGTGGTGGTAATAAAATTTGCTAGCTCGCGTGTCTTTTTTTGTGTGTGTGTTTTATACCCAGACTTCTCCGAGAGCTCCAAACAGCAAGAGATAAACTTAATCTTCTCTAATGAATTTAACAAAACAAACCAATATCAACTCAAAACCATGCTTGCTACACTGCTAGGGACCAATACTAGGGACATATTGTGAAGCACACCTCTGGGAATTTGGGG